GGGGGGCACTATAATCAACGAAAACGTAAAGTTCCGCACAGCTTCTTTAATTTTTTTTTTTTTTGTCTTAGCTCTTTAGAAACTACCGTTACATTATTTGGTGCTATGGACGCTTCATATCCAGGTCAATTCACACACTTGTAAGTAAAGCATATAAGAGGAAAGGAGAGGGCTCTGTCTTATCTCTTCATAAACTAAGTCATATTATTTTCAGCAACAGACCATGGGTGCAGATCTGATAAGTTTGGGGGGGACACAATCAGTTGTGATTTTCCATTCTCCACCCAACACATTGTTGGAGGACCCACTCCCTCTATGGGCCCCCCACCTTACGGGCCCTAGTGCAACCGCACTGCCTCCACTGTCTGTATGTACGCCCCTGACACCAGGCATGTCTGTAATACTGTAAGAGTGATTCTGGGAGACTTAGAATGAAACCAAAGCTTTATGGGATGACACAATTTGCAATTGTATCAATTAATCTTTAAATTAGTTTGTCAGTCAGAATGGCTCTTGAAAGAATGAAAATGAAAGGGGTCATTTTTGGTTGGAACAAAGTTTTATTACTATAATACAAACCTGAGACCATTTTGTAAATGAAAGTATGTGTAAAAAGTCTCTCCTTTGAAAATCAATAAAATAAAGGGGGAGGTTCTCCGTCATGGTGTACCTCTAAACTGGCATATCACTGCCTCTCTACATCATAGGTCTGGCCTTGTGACTGACTGAATGTAAAAAGACTCATGTATTGGTCTGTCAGCTTTCCTTTAAATGGCAGCACTTGATTTGTACACATTGGGGAAATCTGTAATGTATTTGATGAAATCAGTGTGTAGTTACATTCAGTTGTTGCCCTCACATTGCAGCCATAAATACCACCCCATTCCAATGTGTGTTTTGTGTCTAAGCAAAAGGACTTGAATGCTTTCATCAGGGGTTGAAGTTAACTTTTTTGCCCACCTGCCACTGTGGCTGGTGGATTCAGAAATCTACCAGCCACTTCATAGACTACCATTGTTTTTGGGCTGGTGAGTAAAGCCAATCTAGCAGCCACTTGTATATTTTACCAGCATTTGGCTGATGGCTGGTGCTAATTTCCTACCCTGGCTGTCATATATACACTATTCTTTTAAACTCTGTGACTGAAGAAGCTCATTATGTTTAATCTGTTTAAAATCAGTCAGTGTTAATGTCAGAACAATAATGAAGCTGTTTTGAGGCTGATTCTACCAGCCTTCCTCTCAGGATCTTGAGTATGAAAACAAGAGAGAAAAAAGAGAGCAGGGTTTTTAGTGAGGGGGTGACATTAAACCACATCACTGTGTGCTGGCAGCGCAGAAATACACAGCTGAGTCTGATGAAGTCACTGTTTGAATGATCAGAGATCCTTTCCCTATGTCTTCTCCTTTTATCTTGACTCTGGAGTTTGTAAACTGGTCCTCGTAGACTGGATCATTCGGGGGGTATACATACCCGATGAGGCTCATAGAGCGACTGCTCTGTTTGTGTTGGTACCACAGCATTACTTGGAGGTTGCTGTCATCATGACTGCAGTTTATTGTGAGCTCCACAGTCCCTTCCTTTACAACTTGAGGAGAGGACTGTTGGAATGAAACACTTTGCACTTTTCCTGTGAAGAAAGTCAGTTCATGTCATTGTTGAGGTAAAATTTGAATTCAAGCAATAAAAGTTTTATGAATTTATCTTGAAATCTTAGAAAAATCTAAGCAAATTTGTACCATAAACACACAGTGGTACATGTTAAAGAAAAAAAATCATAACATTGTGTCAGGCTTACTTGTAAGGACGAGCAGTAAAAATCCAAATGTGTATAAAACTGGAGGCATCCTGGAAACTTAAATCAACAAATGTGCAACGATGAGAAATAACAGAAATAATTTACAATTATTTCCATATCAAATGAACAGTTAGCATACACTGAAATCTGGTATCAGAGGTGGTGCATTCACATGTTTCTCTGATCTGACAAGCTTATTACAGATGGACTGAAAGAGGACTGTCTTCCCTTCTACGTCACCTCCTCTTCCCCACCTTCTTCCTCTGCTCACAGCTGATTCTGTCACAAATACTTTCTCTCCTGCCTGCTTCTTTGCTGCACTTTTTAGGCACTTTTTTTTACTGACATGTAGTAGGGAGTAGTCTCTGTTATGTGTAATTATATTAATTAATAGTTTAGTTGTCTGATCACTCATAGGGCTACTGTAAGTATGTTCTCACCAGCTGATGAAAACCTGCTGACAAATTGGACCCCAATGGAACCTGATTGGTCACCACATAATTGGGCGGTCTTTTTAAAACTACAATGCCCCGCCCACTTGTTAAACTGTTTGCAAAGTAACTGACGCTGCAGCTCCATCACGGACACGAGAACTTGTTTAGTAAAACTAGAGAATAACTCCATTTAGAGAGCAAGTTTAGTACTAACAGTTTAACAGTGTTTCCTCAGGACTGCAGTTACAAGGAATGTTTTCTCAGTGCTCCAATATGCTGATAGAGTCCATTTGTGATTGTTCCTAACACCAACGGCTGTTGCGTCCCGTTGGTCTGAACCGGAGTTGTCTGTTTTTGGCTCCTTGGGACTCTTTTGAAAGGTTTTATTTTTCTTGACTCTGGGAATCACATCTTCATCTCACTAAGTAAGCATTGTATTGCTTGTACAGCTATACAGCTAATATTACAGTTATATTACCAGTTAATGTTTTGACTTTTGTTAGTCACTGTTTGGCTGCTTGGTTAAGCTACAGTTGGCTGTAATGTTTCTGCTCTCCTGCTGCCTTGTGTTTAGTGACTGAACATTAGTTGTGCTGTGGGCTGGATCTTCTTTGCTGCTGTTTTTCTGCTATTATACTTTAAACATCTACCTATGCAAAGTATTGCAGTTAATTGTAGTGCTCTAATCGCAATCGCGATGTCAGGCTGTGCGATTACATAACCGCACAAAAGGCTGCAATTTGCGATTTAATGTAAATAAATCTTAACGTGCGTGCCTGTGAACGTGACTGCCTCTCCTAAAGTGTGTGGAGTTTGTTGACGTTACGCCCACAAGCTATCCTGGTGTGTACAGCACGTATGGTCAGGTGACTACCCAGCGTGCAGCACTGACCAAGATGGACGCCAAGGAAGAATATGTGCACGACCAAGAAGAGTTAGAGTAAGTGGCGAAAAAAAAAACCTGCAACGTCAATTATATGCCGATACTTTGGCTTCTGGTATGGCGACGCTGAACAGAAAGAGGTGCCATTTAGAACTTGCAAAGGTAAAGTCGCCACGTCCCGTGTCAACACTACCAATCTGTATCAACATTTGAGACAGCACAGAGAAAAGTACGAAGAGTGCATGCAAGAGAAAGCCAAGCCAGGAAACGCTAAAGACAAAGATACAACTGAAAGCCTCCTCATGAAACAACAACAAAACACAATTAGGAATATATTTACAAGTGTCACGCCATATGAAAAGACCTCAGAGAGACACAGGGAAATCACGGACTCCATTACAAACTATTTGGCACGAGACATGGTGCTGATATATACAGGTAACAAGGAGGGGTTTTGGAAAATGATCCGTACACTGGACAGAAGGTATCAGCTACCCTCGCATAACATTTTCTCTCACGTTGCTATCCCAGAGCTCTACAACCAACGCCATAGTGAAGTTCAAGTAGAAATGGATACAGTGAAGTTCTACGCAACCACAACAGACCTGTGGTCAAGCAGGACTGCGGAGCCTTATTTAAGTCTGACAGTTCACATTGTCGACAATGACTTTGAGCTTAAAAGTCGCTGCCTACAAACATCGTACTTCCCCCAGGACCACACCGGAGAAAACATTGCATCAGGCCTGAGAGAGGCTTTGGCAGCGTGGGACCTGTGTGAGGAGCGTTAGGTTACCATCACTACAGACAACGCCACTAACATCATCAAGGCAGTGCAGCTTAATAACTGGCAAAGAGTCCACTGTTTTGGCCATAGGCTTCATCTTTGAAGAAAGACAACACGCACTCTCAAAAAGAAAAGAAGAAGAAAAAAGTCTGGAGGTGCTCGGCCACAGAACAACAATATAAACAAAAAAAAGCCAGCATCACTCGGTGTCCTTAGTAACCAACTTATAATACCTCACTGGTACAGGCGATCAAACACACAGACCGGTTTCGACAAGTGTCCTCCTCAGTGTGTAACCCTTTTCACACACTGAGGAAGACACTTGTCGAAACCGGTCTGTGTGTTTGATCGCCTGTACCAGTGAGGTATTAAAAGTTGGTAACATAGGCTTCTTCTTGCCATTGGTAAGTTAATTCTTTTACACTACTTTGCCTATCTGCCATGTTTACTGTTTCTGTTTTTTATCTGTATTTCATTGGTATTATTTGACCAAACTGAAACTGCATTATCAACCGTCCATAGTCTCAAACAGCTCTTTGGCCACTAGTAATTGTCTTTCTTTAAATGTGTTTGCTATTTGCGCTAATGTGTTCTTAAAATCTTTTTTTTTTTTTTTTTTTCAAAATGAACCAAAACTCTGTTGGGTTGATAAAAATTTAGATGCTCAAATCAACATTGAATGGAAATACTACTTACTCATTCAGGCCAGAAAGGACTGACAAGTAGGCAAAGATTGCTCCCAAATTCAAACTGTTAGACTGGACAAAAAACAATTAAAATATAAAGCAAAATGAAATAAAACTAAAATATTTCAGGTATAAAAAACCCCCAAACGTTTATAAAATGATCCCTGTGCTCTCTACTACCTGAAAGATAAATTATTTAAGACAAACTTTCACAAAGAGCACAAACATATCTGACAGAGGCTGTTTTGTACACACACACACACACACACACACACACACTAACACACTGATTTAAGAACAACACCCTTTATTACTGTACAAGCCTCTAAGTTGTTTCAGATAATACTACATGTTTTTTGGAACCTGTAGAGGATAAGAAAAATTTATGGGTGTCTTTCACTCCTCTCTTTCACAGAAAATGCTGTGAAAGGTGAAGCTGACTGCACCAACAGGGCTATTGGGATATGTAGAAAGCTTGTGGGCCACTTCTCTCACAGCTGGAGGAAAAGAGAAGCCTTGAGGGAGGCACAGAGGGAGCTCAACCTTCCACAGCATGCCATGGTGACAGACTGCCAAACACGATGGGGATCCACACAGAAAATGATAGCAAGAGTCCTGGAACAACAACATGCTTTGACCAAGGTTCTCTCTACAGACCGCAAAACGCGACAGCGACTGCCCTCATTACAAGACCTGGACGTCCTGGAATCTTTAAACAAGGCTCTAAGCCCACTCCAAGACTTCACAGATGCTTTGTCAGCTGAACAATACGTAAGCATATCATACCTGAAACCTGTTCTCCATCTTCTGAACACCTCAGTACTGGCTGAAGAGGCAGAGAACAGTGACCTGACCAAATCACTGAAAGCAAAAATCCTGAGCTACCTCAATGAAAAATATCAAGCAACACAGGACCTGCTGAACATCACAACATTCCTTGACCCCAGGTTCCGAACAAAATACGCGAGTACAGAAGAAACGAAGACCACGAAGGAACGAGTGATTTCTGAGGTGATCAGTTATTATTTTCTTTTATGCTGGCATAATTTTATTTAAATTTTTTTTTTGGAGTATATTGACCAGTCTATCATGTAGTATGACTGTTAAACTCTTTCTGTAAAGCTCCTAGAGATTTTGATGTATTTTAAACTGTGTTATAGAAATTCAATTCTTTTTCTTGTAAATATTACAGGTGATGGCAATTCAGCATCAGCCTGAAGCGCAGCGCACCATAGCAATGGAGGAGGATAGCTTGGATGTGGACAATCCACCTGCAGCTAAAGCCAAGAAGAAAACTTTAGCCAGTTTCTTTCAGAACAGCCCACACACGCCAACAACAGCATCAGTATCATCAACCACCTTTGATCCCATGGCACAGTGTAGTGAAGCAGTGGCTAGTGAACTCACTACATACACTTACATGCTCTGTGTTGGCCATGAGGAAGATCCGTTGAAATGATGGAAAGTGCCACAAAATGAATTTCCCTTTGCTGTCCAGACTAGCTCAGAAATATCTATGCATACAAGCAACAAGCTCTGTGTCAGAAAGAGCTTTTAGGATGAGCGGTAATGTTGTATCAGCCCATCGATCCTGTCTGAAACCAGACAAGGTGGAAATGTTGGGTGTTTTTGTCAAAGAACCTCTGAAATGGTGTTAGCTGGAACCTTTTAGAAAGAGCATATGGAAGTACAATTTGATAATAAGAAAGTACAGTGGTAACATTTTTATTGGTTTGGGTGTGATTGACTGAACTACCCAAAGTGTCCATTTTGTTTTATATCCAGTGTAATTTTTAGAGGAAGTTGTAGTAGACTGCAAAGTATACCCCATTTTAGAAGTTGATTTTTATATTAAACCCCTCTCAAATGTCCTTTTTTGAGCATGCAAAATGTCTTATTTAATGAATATTTTGTATTCTCTTATTTGTTGTTGAAGTTGTACTCAATGTTAAGAGATATGCCTCCAGAAAGGCCTTCAAGTTGTAAAAAAGTGCCACAGCCTTTGCACTTTAAAGGACTGCCTTTGTTATATTGAGAGACGGGCACTGCTTCTGTTTGCACTTTAAAGAAACTCCTTTGTTTGTTTACTGCACTTTTTTTTAAAATTAAATAACAATACTTTAAAGGTTTACCAAAATGCGTACAGGAAAGCTGTTTACTGCCTCTGCACGTTGCAGAAATGCCTTTATTCTTTTTTACAGTGCTGTACAATCTTTTTCGTTTTTGTATTAAATACTACTTAAACAGTTAAAGTTTACAAAATGCCTGCAGAAAAGCCTTTAAGTTTACAATAATGTCACTATTTGCACTTTGCCGAAATACCTTTATTTTCAAAAAAGAAAGAACTTCTATTTATTTGAAAATATTATTTGGAGAACAGTACTGTAAAAAATTACGGTTTTGTAATTTTATGCTGCTAAATATTTGTATGTTCCGGTTGGGAAATAAACTCCAAAACTATTGTCATTCTCCGCATTTTCCTTGACAGTCAAGCAAGAAGACTCATGATTCCATTTATTTATTATAATCGCAGTGGCAATCACAAATGGCAATATTGTCCACTAAAATCACCATCGCATATTTTTATCAAAATGTGCAGCACTACTTAATTGTGAATCATTTCTTTGAGTGGCTGAGCTTTTTCTTTTGGTTGTTTGGCACTCGAACGATTCTTTCATGCTGTTGATTTGGTGAAATGCAAATACTCGTGGTTATATTGATATTTGCTTTCCCCTACGTTGTTGGTTGTTGCTGTTTTGCCTTGTCATATTCTTGTTATGACTTAGATTGACTTAGACTGATTAGATTTTCACGGCACAAAAACTGCCCCAGAAAATATTGCAGTTTCACGGTATCACTTATAAAATGAGTGTGTAGTTACATTCAGTTTTTGACCTCACATTGTAGTGCTGCACGATTTGGTAAAAATGTGCGATTGCGATTATGGTGGACATTATTGCAATTTGCCATTGCGATTACAATATAATTACAATAAAATGTAATAAATAAATGGTATGATGAGTCTTTTTGCTTGACTCAGTATTTCCCCTACATTATATCAGGGGGGCACTTGACCTGACAAAGTTATTGTTATGGACAGACAGTGTGTCAATGACCATCAACAGACTGAGCACAGTCAAACACGCTGCTCACACAGCAGCCAGCACGGAACTGTACACACAGCGGAGCGAGCATATGTTGCGTTCAGGCGTTGTCACGTAAGTGACAAATTCCAGCGCCATAGCACAACACAGCAGCATGTCAAGTGGGCCGAAACCGAGCAAAATTGCTCAATTTTTCATTTGTTATGGAGTCCATGATTTCCCTGTGACACTTACAAATGTTTGCTCAACTGTGCTTGGATGTTGTTTTATGAGGCTCTGGCGGCTTTCAGTTGTCTCTTTGTCTTTAACGTTACACGGCTCGGCTTTCTCTCGCATGCACTCATCCTACTTTTCCCTGTGCTGTGTTGTCTCAAGTGCTGATATAGATTGGTCGTGTTGCCGCGGGACGTGGCGACTTTAACTTTCACAGCACGTCCGTTCAGCATTGCCGTACCTGAATCCAAAGTATCGCCATGTAACAGACATTGTTTCGCCACCAACTCAGGCTGTTCATGGTCGAGCTCATGCTCTTCTTCAGCGTCTGTGTTGGTCACTGCTGCACGCCGGCTGCACGCACCAGGATAGCTTGTGGGCATGAAGTCAGCAAACTCCACACACTACAGGAGAGGCGGTCACGTTGACAGGCACACACGTTAACATTTATTTAGCCTACATTAAATCGCAGCCTTTTATGTAGTTATGTAATCGCACAGCCTAACATCCCGATTGCGATTGAGATTAGATTAATCGTGCAGCACTATCACATTGCAACCATACGTACATACCACCCCATTCCAATGTGTTTTGCATACAAGCAAAAGGACTTGAATGCTTTCATATATACATTATTTTGTGAGACTTTGTGACTGTGAAGAAGCTCATTATGTTTAATCTGTTTCAAATCACAGCCAGTGTTAATGTCAGAACAATAATGAAGCTGTGTTGAGGCTGATTCTACCAGCCTTCCTATCAGGATCTTGAGCATGAAAACAAGAGAGAAAAAGAGAGCAGGGTTTTTAGTGAGGGGGTGACATTAAACCACATCACTGTGTGCTGGCAGCGCAGAAATACACAGCTGAGTCTGATGAAGTCACTGTTTGAATGATCAGAGATCCTTTCCCTATGTCTTCTCCTTTTATCTTGAATCTGGAGTTTTTAAACTGGTCCTCGTAGACTGGATCACCCTGGTTGACCGTGTACCCGATGAGGCTCATAGAGTGACTGCTCTGTTTGTGTTGGTACCACAGCATAGTGCTGCGGCTGCTGTCATCATGACTGCAGTTTATCGTGAGCTCCACAGTCCCTTCCTTTACAACTTGAGGAGAGGACTGTTGGAATGAAACACTTTGCACTTTTCCTGTGAAGAAAGTCAGTTCATGTCATTGTTGAGTGAAAATTTGAATTTTTGAAATGCAAGTTTAAGAGCATTATCTTGACATCTTAGAATCAAAACAAAAATTTGTATCATAAACACACAGTGGTACACCTTAAAGAAAAAAAATCATATAACACTGTGTCAGGCTTACTTGTAAGGACGAGCAGTAAAAATCCAAATGTGTATAAAACTGGAGGCATCCTGGAAACTTAAATCAACAAATGTGCAACGATGAGAAATAACAGAAATAATTTAGAATTATTTCCATATCAAATAAACAATTAGCATAAACTGCAATCTGGTATCAGAGGTGGTGCATTCACATGTTTCTCTGATCTGACAAGCTTATTACAGATGAACTGAAAGAGGACTGTATTCCCTTCTACGTCACCTCCTCTTCCCCACCTTCTTCCTCTGCTCACAGCTGATCCTGTCACAAATGCTTTCTCTCCTGCCTGCTTCTTTGCTGCACTTTAATTCCTGATGACAAATTAATACATATATTTTGTGATGGATTTTCTTGGTGTGGTGGTTTAAAGTCTTAAAGACACCAGAGATGTCTGTAATGCTGTAAGAGTAATTCTGGGAGACTTTTAAAGAATGTGGGGAAAAAAACTGATTATTTAATTTTAATGTTGACAATATGATATTTTATTATTTATTGTTTACTGTCTGATCACTTGTAGGCCTACTGTAAATATGTTCTTACCAGCTGATGTGATTGGATGAAAATCTGCTGACAGTTGGACCTCGGTGGAACCTGATTGGTCACCATATAACTGGGCGGTCTTTTTAAACCTACAATGCCCCGTTAGGAAAGTAATGTAACTTGCGCTGAAACTCCCACTTGGACACATGAAATAATTTAGTTAGTAAAACTTGAGACCAACTGTCCATTTAAAGAGCAAGTTTAGTACCAACAGTTTAACAGTGTTTCCTCAGGACCACCGTTACAATGAATGTTTTCTCAGTGCTCCAATATGCTGATAGAGTCCATCTGTGATTGTTCCTCACACCAACGGCTGTTGCTAACGCACACTTCATGTCTGAACCGGAGTTTTCCTGACCAGCTTTTGGCTACTTTGGACTCTGCTTGGGAAGTTTACTCTTTTAGGAATCTCCAGGAATCATAGCTTCACCTCAGCAAGGTAAGAATTACCGTATTTTTCCAAATAGTAGCCCAGGCGTTTATTTCACAAAATCAAGTTTGACCCCAGGCGTTTAAAAGAATCAGGCGGCTATTTGCTCAAGGCTTTTTTTTTTTTTTTTTTTTTTTTTTTTTTTTTGCACCGACCTGCACCAGGCCGTTATTTGGTTACAGTTCCTGTCCAGTATGTTTTTTAGTGCAAAAATACTGTATAATGTAGGGGTGAGTTTGTGTAGAAAAATCTCCAAACGTTTAGAGTGGGTCATTTTTTTCGTGTAAACGTGTACATGGGTTTCACCGCTGGGTGGTGCTATTACATTATATCAGTAAAACCCCAGTTATCCGAATACCAACCGAACGGGCCATTTAACCAACGGTTACAGGCCGCCACACCGAAATATCGCCATTCCGACGGTCCGCCATCCCGAATTCTGGTCCCTGAGTCCTGACAGTGAGCTATGGCGAGCCTGTAGAAGCCGTATTTCTCATGCATGTCAGCGATTTTCACCGTGAGTAATTCAGGCTGACTTTATCTGTTTTTCAGCGAACTCCTTTGGTAATTTTATTAAAAGGCATGGCATATAGGTCCACAGTAACTTATTATTATTATTATTATTATTATTATTATTATTATTATTATTATTACTATTATTGTTGGGTCTTATAAGAGTGGGCTACAATGAGTACCGGGCCACCAAATCACAGCATCCGCGGTGAGAGGACACAGAATTGTGTGCGCTTTTACGCACCTGGGTCTAGGTGATCACGGATATTTGATGTGGGAAAGATGTAGCCAGATATATTTCCTGTTTTAGGTACGTGGCTGTCTGTCCGTCCGTCCATAGCACGAGTCATGTGTACCACTTCACCACCGACCCATGCGTAAAAGCGCAAACAGTCTGCCATGGCTGTCCCTCCTTGAGTCAATGCATGAGGAAATAATCGGACCGGCGTTTAATACACAAAATGGGGTCAAACCCCCGGCAGCTATTAGGTGCCCGGCAGCTGTTTGCCACCGGGCAACTATTTGGAAATATACGGTATCTGCCTGTTCTGACATGTTACATCATAAGTTGATGTTTTGGCTAAGCCAGCTACGTTTGGCTAAGCTAGCTAACGGTTATGACACACAGTTGGTAACACTGAGGCTAACGTTTGGATAGCTAACAGTGAAGAAGCTGCCAGACTGTCTGCATTTTGCTCTTCTCCTATCTTGTGTTTGATATCTTGGTGCTATCTTCTGTTTTTTGCTCACAGAAGTAGGGATAGATGACAGCAGCCTAGGTGTCCAGCTACTAATGTACTGTGCATTAAGCTAGCTAATGTCACTGTTTGGGTTATTATGACTCCTCATCAACGGTCGTCTGAAACTTTTCTGTTCTGCTTGGGACTCTTTGAAGGTTTTTACTCATTTATTTCATGACTCTGGGAATTGCAGGTACATCTTCATCTCACTAAGTAAGCATTGTATTGCTTGTACTAGCATACAGCTAATATTATAGTTATATTACCAGTTAATGTTTTGACTTTTGTTAGTCACTGTTTGGCTGCTTGGTTAAGCTACAGTTGGCTGTAACATTTCTGCTCTCCTGCTGTCTCGTGTTTAATGACTGAACAGTAGTTGTGCTGTGGGCTGGATTTTCTTTGCTGCTGTTTTTCTGCCATTATACTTTAATCATCTACCTATGCAAAGTATTGGGAAGAATTGTGAATCATTTCTTCAAGTGGCTGAGCTTTTTCTTATGGTTGTTTGGCACTTGTATGATCCTTTCATGCTGTTGATTTGGTGAAATATGAATACTCACGGTTATATTGATATTTGC